CAGCTACTTGGGAGGCGGAGGCAGGAGACTCGCTTGAGCCCAGAAGTTGGAGGTTGCTGTGAGCTGTAATGCCACGGCACTCTACCCAGGGGGGACAGCTTGAGGCTCTGTCTCAAAAAAAAAAAAAAGAAAAGAAAAAGAAAAAGGTGCTCAATTTTCTAGAAATGGAGTCACAGCTAAACATCATCAGTTCTTCAGATACCTGAAGGTAATAAAGCTCGCCTAGTAACAGTGATTTGGGTTGTTCTGTCTGGAGTTATTAAGCCTTTTGGGATGTGAGAAGACAGGAAGAAAATGGTTAATGAGTAGTTTTAGATTAAACCAGACCTCCCAGTCCAATCATGAAGCAGATGCTGGTACTGAAACAGGTTTCGATAAGCTCCTAACTCTGGCTTGGGCATAACCACAGGGTACTAAAGTAAGTGAGGATCACATTCACTGTGCTCTCTGGCTCCAATCCATTTCCCTTTTCTCTAATACCAAGTCCGCTGCCTCTCAGATTGTGCTTGGTTTAGCTAGTGAAATTTATTTTTTTTTAAGTGGTTTGATGAGAATACAAAGGAAGAAAACTAGAAAAGGGGCAAGTCTCATAATCCCTTCCTTCCATCACCACACAGTGCAACTATAAAGCAGCCCTCAAATATCACAGGTCTCAGGCGCAGGGAGTGAAGTGACTAACATTCACAGAGCTTTACACCAGTCAGTTTGACTTCTTACCATAAGATGATCTGAGTTTTCTTTTTTTAAGAAAAAGGTCTTGTCCCTCAAAAAAAGTCTTGCTCTGTCGCCCAGGCTACAGTCCAGTGGCATCATCATGGCTCACTGCAACCTCAAACTCCTGGGCTCACAAGATCTTCCTGACTCAGCCTCCTGAGTGGCTGGGACAACTGGCATGCACTCACTACCATACCTGGCTAATTTTTACATTTTTTGTAAAGACAGGCTCTCCCTATGTTGCCCATGTGGGTCTCAAACTCCTGGGCTCAAGAAATCCTCCTGCCTCAACTTCCCAAAGTGCTAGGCTTACAGATGTGAGCCACCACACCCAGCCTGATCTGAGTTTCTCTTCCCTAATCCCAATCTGCTTTTCCTCTGACATCCCTACTCCCCCAAATCCACACCTCCAGAAGAACACCAATGAGCCTTTCATACCAAAAGAAAAGTGCAGAAGTAGGCAACAAGAATGAATTCAGGAGTCAGTAACAGGGGGCACCTAAATGGTCAGTGAACATCATCAGAAATTTATTTTTCCATGACTCCCCACCATCTGTCACCCACAAATCTTCACTTCCCAGCAGGATGGCCACTGAACATGTGATGGGATATTGAAGAAGAAACAGTGATCATGTAGGAAACTGCTTGTGACAGGGACACATTAAAATACTTTCAGTCTGATCTCTAGGCTTTTGTCCAATTTTGCTTGCAGGGGTGAAGGCACACAGGGTCAATTCTACATTAGTTCTCAAAAGTCAGCCTGCAATCTAAGCAAAACACTAACTTAGGGGCCACAAGCAAAGGAAAACTTCTATACAAGAGCACCCTTCTCAGATTAAATGATTCTCAGCATCATTGTAAACCCATGCATCCTGCTCCCAGGGAGCATGCTAGCCAGAACCTATCATTAGAGGCCACCTTACCCGCTCTTGGGTGGGCTGGGGCAAATCGCTACCTCTTCTTCTTTCCAAGTTGGCACTGTGATTTCTTCCAGTCCCCAGAGCCCCTGAGTCTTCAGCTGAAATTGGGGCAGATGCTGCTATATGAGCTGTGGAAAGGCTAATCTAAGCCTGGAAGAGGGTCATTTGACTGTCTTTAGTTCCCTCCTTAGTTGATTTGTCCAGCATTCTCCAGATTCCTCCTTTGCTCAATATCCCCCTCTACTAGAGAAATCCCTTTCCCCTCCCACCAGCTCGGTACAGTCTGGCCTCTATCCCAGGCTCCAAGCTTCTCTACTCTTGGCTAAGAAATGCTCCTCTAATTCGTGACTCTCCTACTCCGGGGCCTGCACCACAGGTCCCCCCATTCCCAATCCCCTCCCCTCGGACTGCCCCTGGCCCCTAGGCCCCCTCCCCTCCGCCCCATTTCCTTTATTTCTCTCCGCCTCTGACCTTTCTCCATTCCATCCCCTCTTCTTAACCCCAGAGCTAGTCCCCTCTCTGTCCCTACTCCATGCTGCAGTCTCCGAGATCCCCCCCAACTCTAGTCTACCAGCCCGACTACTCCAATCCCACAACAAACTTTCCACCGCAGCCACCTGCCTTCAGACCGCCATCTTGCCGCGGGGCAGGCCGGGTAGCGGCCCGACCGCGGGAATCCCCACGCACTAGGCGACGCGCGTCATCGGGGCGGGGCTGTAGGGGCGGGACCTCGAGTTGGGGAACTGGGGCACCGGGTGTCGGGGAGAGGTGGGACTTTCGAGTGCACGGGTTGGAGGTCTGGCCACAGGACTAAGGGGAAGGCGGTATCTGGAGTAGGACAATTGCAAGGAGGGTGAAAAGACTCGTACTCATTGCAAAAAGAACAGAGGAACACAGCTCAAAAATATAGTGGGCAAGGGAGTTATGCTACTGGTTCCCCATCATGCAAAGAATAAAATCAGCTTTTTAAATTGGCAAGTGGAGATCCGCATGACCCAGCTTCTCCACCTTCACCAGCCTCATTTTCCACCACCTCTCTCTGAGACATTAGGTTTCCAAATTGTCCTGTTTTTCAGGCCATTAGGCCTTAAGACACCCAATCTCTCTTCTCCCTTGTGTGATTAATTCCTACTTCTCCAACCCTCAGCTCAAATGTCACCTCCTCCAGAAAGCCTTCCTTTGATACTCCTTTGGCTGGGCATCTCTAGCAACTTGTCTTAACTTTATTGTAGCTGTACCATGCCATAATCATTTATTTACATGTTGTATAACCTTTTTGCCCTGCTGCTTCTTCAGGTAAAAAACTATGTCTGATTACATCTACATATTCCCTAGCAGGTGCCTAGCACACAATAAGTGCTTAAAGAATAAACAGCATGGTTTCTTCCAATGCACTAAGCATAATTTCTAGCTCAGGGTCTTTAAGTTTGCTGTTCCTTGTGCTTGGAATGTTCTTTCTCTAGTATTCACTCCCATTTGTGTCTCTACTTAAATGCCTTCACCTCAGAAAAGCATTCCTGGGCCACTCAGTCTAAACCAGCATCCACAGTCATTCTCCCTTTCATAGCACGTATTACCTGACATTATATTAAATATATCTTTGTTTATCAACTACCTGCTCACTGCAATGCAGGCTCCAGAGGTCCAGGACTTCTTCTTACTCATCACTGTATCCCCAGTGTCTAAAATAACATCTGGCATAGTGAGTGGTTACTCAATAAATACTTACTAAATGAATAAGTGGCATGGAGAGGAGTGACTGACAGGTTTTAGAATACACTATAAAATGAGGAAATGCATAGATGGAGGTTACAGGTCCACAAGAGCCCACTTAGCTCTATCAAGAACATTAACCAAAAAAAAAAAAAAGAGAGAGAGAGAGAGAAAATTTAAAAAGATAGATAGGCCCAAGCTCAACAAAGGAAAGATTGAGCTGACAGCCAGGTGGAATTCTGGAGCTGGGTCCTTAGGGAACACAGCTCTCTTGGGTAAGTCCCAGGATAGCAAGCAGGCCAGATAGAGGAAATGGGGCAGGCTGGAGGCGGAGGAGTTTACTCAGACCTAAAGACAACATCCACCCCAAGCCCAGGCCTCTCTTGGCCAGATGGTTCCGGAGAAACCTTAGCATCTGTCCTTCCATAAATTATCCAGGGCTCCCTCCTGCCTGTCCTCTCTGGTGACAGCCGGAACAATTGTCCAGGAATTCCATCTGCTCCCCTGTCCCTCTCCCCTTCACAGCTCATCAACATTTCAGAGTACAGAGGTATTCCATTTCCCTTGGCCTAGGGATGAGAGCTGGCTCTGGCCCTTGGTGACACTGGTCACAGGACCCACCTTCATCAACACACAAATAAAACCTCACCAGAAGTTCCCAGATCACCACAAGGAGTGGTCAACCGTCTTTATTCCATATCTCATCTGTGCTTTTCTATCCCCTATGTCATTTTAAAAAATTAACTTAATAAAATTACATGAAATAAGGCAATCATATAGGATTTGCAGAGCTTAAAGTCTCCAAATTATTATGCATCTTTATATGGTTCCTCTAAAACTGCCCATATAGCATTTTCAAAATGTGACGTTTTCTTATTACTTTCTTTTTTTTTTTTTTCTTTGAGACAGAGCCTCAAGCTATCCCCCTGGGTAGAGTGCCATGGCATCACTCACACAGCAACAGTCTCTGTCACCTGTGGCAGAGTGCTGT